ACCGACTCCGGAGCTTTTAGTGTCCTGAATCCGTCGGCAAGCATTCCGAAGTTCATACTGGACTAGAACTGGCGGGCACCGTCGTGGGTCGATGTATCGGGGCTGCTTGGTTCGTTCTCCGTCTGGATCGGGAGAGAGAGTAGGCCACGATGTTCTTGCAGTAGGTTTGGGACAGTGTCCGGGTGACATGTTGACCGCGCCATTCAGCTTGGTCAAACGATTTTGTAGGCCTGCACCATTGATGCCTCCATCAACCTTCATCGACACAGCTCACGCCACAGAGACATTTGTCGATTTTTGATGGCCTTTTTTCAAGGCCGTTTTGCGGTCCATTCCGGAGTTGTTTTCCGCAAAGCCTCTCAGGGTCGAGGCCGGTCCTTGCTCTTTGGCACAGACGTCATGCTCGTGATGCATTTCACTGCGCAGTTGAGCAGTTTCTTTCGTTCCACCAGTAAACACGGCCGTGGGTCGGCGGTAGCTTGGTGAGCACATCGCCATAAGAGGCATCGCACTGCATTGACAACATTGCGTTTGAGTTCCTATGCCTGCATCTTCACGGGGTGCCTTCAGATTATCGGTCACATCTCCATCAAGGCCGACGAGGGCTCCGTGTCCAGTTTTTCGTGACTCCACTTGCGACTCGGGCTGGTGCAGTGATCCGACATTTCTCGGGTTACCCCATCTCAAGTGGAGAATAGCACTGTGGGTCACTATGCGTGTATTGCGTCGCTCACAACCCAGGTTAGACCCGATACGAGCAATGCACTTGGCTCACGAATGTCAAATCGACTATTGGAGCCATCGCTATTTCGGAGAAAAGTTGGAAGAGTTCCCGAGTATTTGCTAGTAACGTCAGTTGAGGGCTAGATGGTCTAGAACGAGCTTCTCCTCTTCTTGTGTTACTGTGGCTGGCCCCACGCTGTAGCCCATGCGTTGGAAATCCGCCAGCGATGATGAGGGGTCACCGGGTCTCATGCATCGGCCACCAGGACTGTTCATGCAGCACGTTTCCGAATTGGGGAATGGAGAGACTAGGGGTGCATATACACTGTAAAATGTATATGACCGTCCTGCCTTACCCCGTAAGCCGGTCGATGGTACAGTTCATGACCTCCCGGACCTGACGACAAATCGGTAAGTCCTATCGCGGCCGACTTGACCTGTCTGAAAAACCAAGTAGCCTCCCATGTTCGTGTACTGCTTCGCAAAGAATCGCGGCACGTGAATCTTAAGGTCTCCCCGCGTTTGTTGCGCAGTCTGTGCTGCCTCACAGTGGTTAGGTCTCATTGAGAGTAACCTAATTTTTCCGCTGTAAGTCCGTCTGCGGAGTGCCCTCTTGATAAAACGGGCCCCTTCGGAGCCGCCAGACGTGTGGCTTGATTCAAACTTCGGCTTGAAGCATACATGCAGTTGCGGGTCCGTTTTCGCAAGTCTTAGCCACATGAACCTCTTCGCCAACACTTGGCGGGCAAAAAGCTTGTTCGGTCGGTCCTTGCAGGAACTGGCAGCAGGTGACCGAAGTTCGCACATCGGTAGCATCTTAAACGGCGTAGCCAATTCGACATTTTCCCGATCGTTGCAGCCCTCCTTGCCGGCAGAAACCGTTGGTAGGTCAGACCACCGCCCACCTGCGTTCTTTGAAGCTAAAGGCCGGTCGTGTGCTTTCACCGCTGTTCTGATCTAAGTTTTGTCTCCAGCTGCGTTTTCCAGCGCGGCGCAGATCTCCGTCCTTGGTTGGCAGAGCCTTATCGAGAATCACGCAGCTGCCACAGTGAGTTTTCCCTCCCTGCCAGTAGTGGAACTGTTGTGGCATCTCCCAGTTTGTCTATTCAGAGCCCCTCAATTCATCCTACCTTCCCGCCACCGACGCTCCTAGCTCCAGTAATAGTCTCCAGGTCCAGTTTCTCGCTGAATCGCTTGGACACAGGTACCGACATTTTGTAAGGAGGGTCGCCAAAAAGATCCCTCGATTCTCTGCTTGAGCGAGTTGGTGTTGTACAGATGTATATGGCGTCGCTCTGAACTCTGATTGGCTATTGTATGGAACTTGAATAAGGACCGGATGTGCCCTATCTAGTGTCACCCCACTGAATGGTAAAACGCAAAAACGTTCCTGAAACGTTGTTGTAAAAGAAGTTTTCGCCATGGCGGATGCTGCGGCCCGCCAGCTGCAATACGAGTACAAAGCGGTATGCCGTTTTAATGTTATGTTAACGATAAGTGTTTCATGTTCAAAAACTATACTGTTGTCCGTTCCTGTTGAGTGCACTCATTTTTAAGTAACATTGAAATATTATGAATTTATTGCATTAGGGCAATTCTGAATGTGTAAATTTCTTTCCAGAATTCAAATCTTGTATTGCAAGCCGATGTTCGGCTTATTGAACGACGAAGTCGAGATGAAGCTACTGGAGAGGTTATGTCCCTTGTGGGCAAGCTGGATGGAACGCGTATGGGTGATAGACATCAAAGAACTCGCCCTGTCAAAGCCGCTGAACGGAAAGCAAAGTAAACACATCGCTCATTAAATTAACCTAATGTTTTATACTACTGAGCATAGACACCACTTTGCCCAATGTAACAGCTACATTTTACATAAATGGAATACATTTTGTAACAGTGATACTATTGAATATTTGAGGGATGGACAGTTTGAAACAAAGAAAAGAATTTCACTATTAAATAAATTTTGAAAAAGTTTATCTTGGCGTAGAATTGAAATATGTGGGCTTAGAATGTCATGCCAAGTTTGAAACAGAATTACAGAAATGGCAAATGTTAAAGTCCTCATAAATTTAGCAAAATGTGTCCACGTTTAATCTATACCATGATTGTGAACAGCAATTGTGAGCGCAAATGGTTAGGGCAGAAAATGTTTATAGTCATTAGAATTTTCTAATATATTTTTGTAAAAGCAGCTAATCAAAGCACTCGAAGTATAAAACTTGACTCTATATATTGTAATGAGGTTTGATTGGTAATAAAGTAAGATTGTGCCATTTGTATTGGATCTAAAGACATTCTATTCAGGATGTCCAACTTCCTACGGATCCATTAACTTCTAAATAGTTAACAATACCTAGATGCAGCTTTCAACCAACAATACTCAATCATGGGGCGTGCGATATGATATAGAGATATTGTTTGTAAAATTTTTGTTTTTTAAGAAATTGAATCATCATTCATTTTGTAAATGGAACTGTAGAGTTTTACACCTTCAGATAAAGAGGAATAAATAAGTCCTGTTGCAATGCAAAGCCTCAATGGAGTCTAGTTCTAAAAGAAAGTGTTGAGTAGTGATCCTAACATTATTTCATGAAGGGGCAAAAATTCAATACTATTACTTTGAAAGCATTAACAAATGATAAGTTATGGAATAGTTTTTTTATAATGTGTTTGTTGCAGGAAATTAATCCAAGCATAGTAATTAAACTAGGCTCAGGTATGATGTTGCCATTTGCAATCCGGCAAAGTCTGGCAAAAGTGTCCTAAAAATGTAATGCGGGATGAATATATAGTTCCATTTAAAAATTGAAATATGTCTGAGTTTCATCAAACACAAAGATATTATAAAAAGTATTTCTATGGTGTTCATATAATTAACATCTCCACGATTGTTTTGTTGAGCAAAAACTGCATTTCAGTATCATATATGATTAGTAATTACTGGAGACGGTCCATAGTCACATCATTCTGAATGTACGAGTTATCCTAGATTTGCTGAGTATTTTGTCTTGTGATATTCTGTAAATTCTGAGTAGGTTAGTTGAATGCATTCTGTGTTTAATCATTTCAGGCGGCAGAAACGTGATGAAGCTCAGTATGACTTCACCCGTATGAAGGGTGCAACTCTCTTATCAGAAGGCGTGGATGAAATGGTTGGTATCCTGTACAGACCAAAGACCCAAGAAACTCGTCAGACTTACGAAGTTCTTTTGAGCTTTATCCAGGAAGCTCTTGGTGACCAGGTAATTTAATTGTTTGGCTGAAGTATAATGTATTGTACAACTGACGGAAGATGTTTAAACCTGCACTTCGAGTCACTCAGGCGGCAACTGCGCAGTTTGAATTCTGGAGTCTTTCTTCAAAAGTGCTTTCTTTTAAAAGTGAATTGGTAATTATGCGGTGGATAGACTCAAGTATGTTTATAGTGAACCTGAGGGCCAAAGGCCCAAGCCTTGCCGTGACTTTGATATGGGTGAGAAAAGCGAGAAAACTTGCCTTTGAAAGTAAATTGACATTACAATGAGGTGGGGACAAAGGGTATGATCGTTTATCGTTAATTTCTATCAGAGTGTGTAGCGTAATTTGAGCGAGATCTTCAGGAAGTTCACCCTTCTGCCACGCTTCTCTGAGGCAGTACTGTGTATCCTATTTACCCAACTGTTTCTTGATTGCCTTAAAAGACTTGGAATCTCACATTCACTGCAGGCTGGTTTTTCAGAAATCCTGTGTGTTCAGAAAAGTGTCTATGATTCAGTTAATTTTTTTGTTTAAAACAGCCGCGAGATATTCTCTGTGGAGCTGCTGATGAAGTTTTGGCTGTCTTGAAGAATGATCGTCTGAAAGAAAAAGAAAAGAAACGTGAAACAGAAGCCCTTCTTGGTGGTCTAGCTGATGAGCGATTTGCATTGCTTGTCAATTTGGGAAAGAAAATAACTGATTTTGGCACTGAGGAGAAAGTCCAAACCACAGGTAATCACCATTTGCTTGGAAGTTTAAAAAGAAATTTCATTTTTAAATATTCAATATTTATCATACAGTATGCTGCTAGTCAATGCCATATGACTATTATTCATAGTATAGCCAACAAATCATGGGAAGTGGAGATAAATGTAAAGGCTAGGGATGCAAGCAGTGGTTGCTGATGAACATAGAGTGCTTGTGAGCGGAGAGGGTAAATGCATAGGGAGGGATATTTGTGATGGGGAGAGCTATGGAGCCACAAGAGCTTATGACAAGTTCTCAGAGAGTGTGTGCAGGAGTTAAAAAACTTAAAGCAAAAGCTGTAAAGTATGTGCATCAATTACTTTAATATTTGATTTAGAGAATTTAATTAAATTATATATACAATTATTGTTCATCATTAATAGCAATACTGCTTCGAAATGACTGATAACCTACTACTGTGATTCACATTAGAAGGCTCGAGTCATTTTTTAGATGGATGTGGGTCTAAATCTAGAACATCACACTGCAGTTCCGATCTGACTTCAATGATGTTTATGGAAATGAATGACTGGAAAATGATGTTTATGGTAATTGGTGGAAAGTTAAAAAGCTATAGCTGAAGTGTAGTATACGGTACAACTTAAGGAATTTGTTTAATCTGGCACTTTGCACCGTTCCGGTGAGGGGGAAATCCACAGTGGAGGGGACGAGGGGTGTTATGAGGGCAACTTTTGGTGGGGAGGGGCAGGGAGCAATATGCGTAACTTAGTACATACACATAAAAAGCAAAGCGCTGGAACATTGTAAAAAATACACTCTGAAATAATTTTAATGGTTTGTAATTAGTCCTGAACATGACGTCAAAAGTTAGAGGAGTGGGGGGCAATTTCACCCTCGTATCTTGTCGAAACTTTGTTAGGAAATGGTGAGTGGTGGCACATAAATCATGTTTTTGTCTAAGTGATTTTCGGGTAGATGTCATACAATCAAGTTTCTTGCATTCTTTAGATTCATTGTGATTTGTGTTTTTGAGTGTAGAGTGTCTGTGCTATGATGCTGAGAATAAGTGTGGCTTTTTTACGCGTTGCGCCGAAGGGGGTGTTTGGCTGTCATTGAACGGGCGCAAGAACGTGGGTTGATTTCTTTAGGATTTAAGTATGCTGTGTGTAAGTATCCTATGAGGTAGGTGAAGCGAAAGAAGTTGTGTGATGGTTTCGAGTGGAAGTGTAGCAAGAAAGGAGCCACTCCTCATGAGCGTAAGTGTTCCATGCCAAGGGGTCATGGTTTGCGTGAAGCAAGTTGAGTGTGATTCAGGTAGTAGTAATGACCTACCTTTGGGGCATAAAACAGTCAGTCCGGTAAGTTATATTCATTTCTGTCAGAGCACTTAGCGTAATTTGAGGCCATCCCCCCTTGCCCTGCTTCTCGAAGGATGTACCATACTTTAACCAGCGCTATTCATGGTTTTAAAGTCACTAAACCTTGTCTTTTTCACCTGCTTTGATGCTCATTTGCACATCCTGCTACTTTTAATGTCTGCGAAGGCTGGAAAGTGAAAGATAAACACTGCCACACCTGCTGTGTCCTACGCTCCAAACTCCAGTTCTGCCAATTGCTGTAGTTTGACCTTCTACTCCCAAATCCTTTTCCCCCATGACCTCCTTAAAATAAATTCCTGTCAAAATAAATTCTCAAGGCTGCATTTCTGGGCTCAACAAGTTCATGAGCTGAGTATGCATGGCAAATGGACTTTGAATTTAATGCCCCTTCCCACTGCGCGACGGCGGTGCGCTTCCGAGCAGCGCGGTGCGTAGCAGAGCATGGTTTGAATGGAGGCCTTCCCACGTGCAGCGGGTGGCGGCTGCTGCGGCAGCCGACGCCGAACTCCAGCCAGGAGGGCGTTCGCGCCACGGCTAGCAGTACACAGCTTTAAATAAAAGCCTTCCCACTGTGCCGCCGGTCGCAGCGGTTTACCTGCTCCGGTCCCTTTGTTCATCGTCGCCGGAGGGTCGGCGAAACCTACCCCTCCAGACTCCACCCCCTTCCACGGCGGGCGGCGGTGCGGCCGTAGCTGCGGCGGTGGCTGCGTCGGAAGGGCTCTGCTGCTTGAAGGAAGCGCGGCGACGTGGGGACGCCTTTAGTTGTGCATGTACTATTGAAAGTGTAGTTTTTGTAGGCATACAAGCACAAAGCTGTGTGTGCCCATCTCTCCTTGAGTTACCCATGTATATAGCTGTGTGCCAGAAAACAATCAGTGGAATACCCTCTGCTTTCCCTTGGTGAAGTACTCCAGAAACAACTTATAGAGTTAACCACATCATGGTGCAGAAATAATAAGACTGGTTGTAAAATACAGTCTACTGTGCCATGACTACGAAAAGCACTAAGCACTGGATTCAATTAGACATGTCACTACACATGGTACACATGATAGGGGCATTCTCTTTTAATTTTTTAACATTTCACATTAGCAATGAGATAAAAGTCCACTACAAATGCGAAAATTTTAAAACATTTATAAGTTCTAGCTCGTAACAGGACATTACTGATATAACTATTTCTGAAAGTTTGCTAAAACAGTTTGTAATTATCAGAGTATCTCCTTATGTTTTGTAGAGGAAAACATTGATGAAACCTATGGGATAAATGTACAATTTGAAGAATCTGAAGAAGAGGATGATGAAGATATGTATGGTGAAGTGAGAGAGGAAGAAGATGAAGATGAGGGGGAGGAAGCAAAACTTGATGGAACAATTCATGCTGAAAATGTTTGTATTCCTTTTATAGAGTGAAGAGTTTGAATGTTTAAAAAATCTTTAGTAAATAAACTTGGGTTCTGTACATTTTCAAAGAAAACGTAAAGAATATGAACGGTTTAATAGTGAAATATTTTAGACCATATGAAATATTAAGTTTTGATTAAGGTATAAAAGATTTGTATTAAAATACTCTGATTTTAATATGAATTTGTCTCTGTCTCTAAATATTAATTAGAAATGTGTATCTTGCTTTGTATATCAACACTGTATTGATAATTTGTTGAAACAATGAGATATTTCTGCTCTTAGTTGGGAGGTGCAGCTGAAGAAATGAAGAAGGAAAAAGTCCTTCATCCTCTAGATATTGATGCTTATTGGCTGCAACGCCGTCTATCCAAATTTTATGATGATGCTATGGTGTCACAAGCAAGGGCAGCTGAAGTTTTATCTGTTCTCCGCGATGCCGGAGATGATCGTGATTGTGAAAACCAGTTGGTCTTGTTATTGGGCTATGATTGCTTTGACTTCATCAAGTTGTTGAAGAAACACAGACAGATGAGTATGTACATATTCTTTCAATTCATTTCCAGCCGTTGTGCATGTGTAAGTGATTATATAGGAGAAAGGTGGATTTGATTTATTTTCTGAGAAGTTGTTGGTAGAGGTCTCCTTTTAACTTTTTCATCTAAGTAGTGTAGCAATAGTTATGTATTAATGCAAAAGATCAATGTTGAAATTTTATCAAAAATACATTTCAGCAGTTCCTGGTACCCCAAAAAGTGTGTTTTTCAGAACTTAACTAGAAACTCGTGTTTGAACCTAGTGCCTAAATCATACATAGAATTTTCTTTGAAAATGGATAATCTCTTATTTATCTGCTCTATTTATCTCTAAACTTGATGCTTATCGAATTAGAGGTTGTTTTAGTTTTTAGGATATTTCATGCGATGTCTATAACATTTTTAAAATGGTCTCAAAAATGACTCAACATTTTTTCTTTAAACTTTTTCTGGATTAAAGCAAAGGGTTTTCTTAAATAAGAATGTTTTCCTCAGACTTGTCAAAAATGACATAAATTCAATCGTTTTTGGCACCATCATTATTGAAGATGGATATTTCTTCCTTAATGTAATTTGTTCCTGTATATATGTTCATTTACATTTATTGGTTTTATTTCCGGGAAAATCCTTAATATTTTGAAATGGATTCTGGAGTCCTAAACTCAGTTGTTTGGAGAACGTAGGTGTCAAGTAGTTTTACTGTGGATGAAGATCATGTGTAGATAGATGCCCAGTGAGTAAATTTTGTTGCAACTTAATTTTGTCAGAAAAGTTTTGAAAAATAATTTTATTTTAAATTGTTATCTCAAAATTATTGTAAGTAGACATTTGAAGTGTATATGCCAGTATATTCTTTAAACTTTCTTTATTATCATCACCTTTATTAGTGGAAATATTAGGTTTTTGCAATGGAAATTTAATTTAAACTCATAAAATTAGAAAACAATTTGTTGAATAATATCACAATTGATATGATGGGGGTGAATTCCTCAAGGGTTGTGGGATGTATGATAATTCTTTTATGTTTGGTAGTACCCAATGTTATATGACCTACGATTCTTGAGTGGTAATGCAACAAATTTGTTCAATTTTATAAAATGTAATATAATAAATTTAATTGTTCAGACAAAACATACTGTCTTTACAGAATCAAGTGTATTACTTCCCATAAATTATGACGACTTCATCAATAATTTCCTGTGATGGAAAGTAAGAAAAAAATATTTCTATGTTACTATAAAATGTAATTGTCAAATAATGTCAAATAATTTATAATTTCACTTTCCTTAAAATATATAATGAAAATCTACTATTTAACAATAGAAATATTAACAATTAACTAGAGCAAACAGAGGCAATTTGTTTTGCATTAGCTCCCAAGAAATCTTCTGCTGAGTATGTATACCTTCAAATGGTTTGATAATAAGTGAAAATTGGTACTTTAAAACAATCATTAAATTTAATGAAATGCTGGTGATGTAATAGAAACCTAATTTAAGTATAATTACTTTGTTTCTTAGTAATCATGGTACGTTTTAAACTAAAGTCTAAATTACTTAATTTTTTTTCCAGTCTTGTATTGCACGTTACTTGCCTCATCCCAAAGTGAGTCAGATCGTCAAAAGATTAGAGACAAAATGAATGAAGACCAATCCCTGGCCCGCATTCTACGACAGTTGGATACAGGAAAAGGAGATGATGATGGGGGTGGTGAGGATGGTGCCATCGCAAGGGCAGCCCGCCGTAAGGAGCAGGATAAAGAAGGGATGGAGGGCAATGGAGGTCTGGTGCCGGGAGCTAGGCAGCTGCTGGATCTGGAAGACCTTATCTTTGCCCAAGGCTCCCATTTCATGGCCAACAAACGCTGTCAGCTTCCTGACGGTTCATTCAGAAAGCAGAGGAAAGGTACAGTTAAAGATCTTGAGGTAGTTTGTGCCTTCAGGTAAATTCTCTGTTGATTTCATAAATTCTCAGTCAAAATAAATAGATTGCCATCTAAGGAACAACTACCTGCAAGAGTAGGATGGCCATGTCTCCCGTTTGAACAGGACAGACCTGATTTTGCTTCCTTGGTGCACATGTTGAAAGAAAAGAAAGTATTGTAACTTTGTACTGGAAAATGTGAATTTCCATGAGAAGGACTCATATTGCTTGGCCCTGGTAACGAAAGTGTTGTATGAAAAATCATTGTTCCTTTGTATAGTAAATTATTTCCTCTAACACATTGTGTAGTGAAAATCCATGTTTTATAGCTAAACATCCACCTGTCTGTGATCAACTGTAGCACAAAAAATGTTCAATCAAATTTTTCCAATGTTCTTATTTCTCAATTGATTTGAAGGAACTTAACATCCTCTGAGTGTTGATATTTTTATATTTGCAGTTTTTCAAAATTTTCACAAAAATTACTCCACACATTTTTATTAAACTTTGTCCTCGGATAGCATAAAGGGCACTTCAAATAATGGTGCAGGTCTCACTAAGACGCATATCTGAAATAATTTAGCATGGAAATTATAGGAATTCATCTAGGACTTGCGAAGAAAAGAAAAAAAGAAAGAAATATATATATAGATAGAGAGAGAGAGATAGAGATAGGGATAGAGATAGAGAGATAGATATAGATAAACCTAAAAAACATATAATCTGAAATGTATAAACGGAGTTTCACTAAACTTATGGTAGCAAATGTGTACCTCGAGGCATTCCTTAATGGTTCACTCTGTCTCACTGATGTAATGGAATCTGCCGCTGCTTATATCTCTTATAACCCTGATGACAGAAGATGTGGGATGTGATTATTAATGCTTACAAGCTTTTGCCCTAGTATTTTATAGGCCTTGTAGACTGTATTGATGTCAAAGCGGCTCAAAAGCTTGCCCATTTTGTCTGAGACTCTTTAAAAATATGGTAAAAATGTTATTTTCCAGTTGGTATTGGCTCTATATGTAGTGATATCATCCGCTGTGCTGGGAATAGTAACTGCCAGATGGCTTAGTTGGCTGGCATTTTAAAACCCCTTTTAAAACAAAATACCATGGCAACAGCACGCATTGAAGACAGTGCTGTAGCATAGCAAAAATGCGAACAAACTTAAAACATCCTTAGCAAGTTTGTTAAATTGTAAATAAGTAATTTAACATAATTGGGACAGTGACTTTAAAATGCAGAAGTGCTCCGTGGGAAAACTTGGGAGGGAGAGTTCATCACCTACAGAAATGGCACTAACTTGTTATTGACTGACAGGAGAAACCGTATGAATTCTGAGGACTGAAGAAGGTACTACACTTTCTTTTGTTAAGAGGCATTGAGAAGAATTATAAGGGGAGATTTTGCCAGAGAAATAGAAATTATTTCCTTGATTTGAGTTCTAATGTTTTATCTAACTTATTATTATATAATTTTCTTAAGACATAATGAATTAGTTATTTTATGCTTCTAAATCTAATGTAATTAATTAAAGGTTATGAAGAGGTTCATGTCCCTGCATTGAAACCTAAGCCATTCACTCCTGATGAAACTCTTGTGTCTATTGATAAGTTGCCAAAATATGTTCAGCCTGCATTTGAAGACTTCAAAACATTAAATCGAATCCAGAGCAGGCTTTATAAAACTGCACTGGAATCCGATGAAAATTTACTTTTATGTGCTCCTACAGTAAGTATCTGAAAAGTGATATTTTTACTAGTAATAAATTTTAAATTGAACTACATGGGTTTGTGTAAAAGTAATAGAAAGAAACTTAAAACAGTGTTTGTGTTTTTATAGGGTGCTGGTAAAACCAATGTTGCATTATTGTGTATGATGAGAGAAATAGGAAAGCATATTAATGTTGATGGAACAATCAAAGCTGATGAGTTCAAAATAATTTATGTTGCTCCAATGCGTTCTCTTGTACAAGAAATGGTTGGCAGTTTTGGCAAGGTATCGTGAAAACATTTTTTTTTTAAATCCATATTGCATCTTCACTAAATGTATACCGTATGTACTCAAATATAATCCGCCTTTGAATGTTAGCCGCACCCTAATTTTTCTGTAAGGAATCTGGAAAAAAACAACATTTTTTCCCCATTTTTATTTTTACTTTTATTGCAAAAATTCCTGGCTTTAACATATATTGCAGTCATATGAGGGTAATAATGTATGTGAAACACACAATTGGAAGTACGACTGTGAAAGTGACAAATATGTACGAAATACAAGACCCTAATGTGGAAGCGCAGGGAACATACTATATGCTGTAGGGGGAATAGATACCACCAACACTTGACAGAAATTGAAAGAGAATTTATTAAACACTATATAGACTCAAATCTCACTCGGGTGGTATTTGAGCCTACTACAGAGTAAATCAAACCCCTGCGATTCTTGATTTAGTGTTAACTAATGATGAAGATTTCATTACACTTCCGATTGTAGGACCGAATATTGGTCAAAGTGATCACTTGGTGATTATGACATTGCTACAAGTAGAATTGCCAGTCGCCTATGAATAATAGTATTTGTTATAAATCCATCTCTAAATGTAATTTTTTTCAAGCAACCTACATAACAATAATGAGACACCTTACTGAACACCATACATTACGAAATACATATATTAATGAAGACACTGAAAACAATAATGTTGTAACTAACTATGAGAATTTTTGTGATACTGTATTCCTGGCTCCCAATACACCTTCTCTGTAATAACAATTCACTCTCTCCCAAGAACACAATGGCTTGCCAGCACATGTCATCGGCTCGGAATGTATCATCTCTCTGTGTCCTTTTCAGACAGCTAAGTCTTTCGATTGTTTTTTAACATTAAAAAAATTCAGCCTTTTATCTGTCACAGAGATCTTTTGGATCATTTTATATTTTTTTACCTCTATTCTGATTTGACAGTTTTCAGAGGTTCTGAAAATTTTGCTTTTTTATTCAGTGCATTCCCCAAAGTTTTTTGCCCTCTGGTTCACCTGCTTTGCCGAAATTCAACTTATTTGGAAAGTTAATTACATCAGTTGCTTATATTCAATTGTCTTTCCATGTAAATATCTTTCTGCTGCTTTAAGCTGTTCTAAATTTTTGTCCCTCCCTTTGCAATTGCTTCCGGATGATTCTTAAAATAGTTTATTTTTCTAACATTAGTTTCTGAGTTCGAAAGTTCCCCTGCTATTTAATGAGAATATAAAATTCGGTTTGTGTCCGACATTGTCACTTGTTTCTTCTTCTACCAACTATCATATATATAAAATCAAAATGTGATTTAATTATAACTCTATGAAAGTGATTTATTATATAATTTTATCTTTATATTATATTAGATCTTCCATTGTGAAGACAGCACCACATTATAAAAATCAAAGTATAACCCATGCTGCCATGTGACCACTTGGAACACATTTCAAGTTCACTGTACATTAACGTGAATGTTACCTGCACCCCGGTATTCAGCTAACAATTTTTAAAAATTATGTGAGTTATATTAGAGTACATGCGATAATATGTTGAATATGGAAATGTTGCAGAGGCTGAGTTCATACAATCTTACTGTATCCGAATTAACTGGAGACCATCAGTTGACCAGGGAACAGATACAGGCTACGCAAATAATTGTATGCACCCCTGAGAAATGGGATATCATAACAAGAAAGGGCGGAGAAAAAACCTTTACCCAGCTAGTGCGGCTTGTCATTATTGTAAGTTTTTCTACACCTACCTACCTCTTCAGAAAATTATAACTTAAAATTTGTCATTGTATTTCACAATCCTTTGAATAGTATTATTGTTGAAATTAGGATAATGCAATGGGTCTCTTGAAAGGGTGTAATAATAATTTTTTAAACTTTGGAGTGTATTGTATTCTTTATAGTAAATACATCTATTTGATTCTAAAAGATGTCTTAGTAAGAAGTTTTCCATGTTCAAATGGCACATGATACAAAATATTGATTCATTTTAAAAAAGTGAGCATACGTCATCAACACCCTTTTGAATAAATAATTTCATTGGTGTCTCACTAACTATCAGTTAGTCCTGAGACTCGTTTGATTAAAGCAAGCAAAATGTGGCTTCTGGTTACTATTTTAATTGTACCACAGAGGAAAGAGTAATAGTATATAAAGTGTGCATACCCAATGCACTGAGACTTATCCCAAAAATATTGCCCTATTCAGAGATCGTACCACCTACTCCTTTTTAATAAGTGTAAAGAATGCACAGGTCATAACCCCACTCCTTTACGTCTAGTACGGATTTCACTTCTCCATTATTGGGTGGTGGCTGTTTTCAAATATTATTATTGCTGTTGGTTGCCAACTGGATATTGGTCAATATCTTTTCTATATGCTTAATGTTGGTAAATTTATGTGCCATTTCTTTATAATTTTGGCTCCTTCCAACCGTTATGCATTCACTCTTTTTACTGTTAGCCCAGAAAGGTAATCTCTCAAATCCGTTCAGAAAAATATTAATTAATAAAAAATAACTAATAAATAAGTGGCTCTATCATCAGTTAACAGTTGTATGTTTTAAGCCAAATTTGTCAGAAAATCATTCATAAAAGTGAGACACATGAGAGATCCAATGACACTTCACTGAAGAAGTGCAATAATTTGAACAAGAGAAATGTTTTCCATAACCATGCTGACACTGAAAATTAATTGTTTCGTGAGTTTGTGTTTGGCTGGTTACTGTAAATAAACTAGTTAAGCCTTACTGTGTTGTTGTAATGAAGGCTACGGATAAGGCATCTGGACCTCATGACTCATTTTCCCCTTAAATTTATTCCTTATGAGTTTGGTATCCAAGTATTGTTAGATTTTTGCTTAATACTGAGCTGACATCAGCATTAAAAGTATTTGCTTGTTCTGTGTTGTTGGTTATTGGTGAATAATAAATATGAACATCTGAAACGTTATTTTTATTTCTCTTCTAAGAACATGTGTAAACAATCCAGACCAACCATTGCCATCCACATCGAGAATATGTAAATGGCATTCCTCGTCAATTTCCTTTTCTTTGTCAAATGCATATTTGTAATTTCAAAATACTCTTGTGTGGTTGTTGCTACCATGTATTACTAAATGCTGTTTTTTTCTTTTCATATATCTGATCTTCGTATTAAAATATTTTGAATCTGGGTTTCTCTTCTAAAATTTGCATGATATAAATGTCTGCACTGCCTGCATTTTCGAGAATATATATTCTTCCATTGCCTCTCTTATTCTTAGAAATTAATTTATCAGTTTGACTTCTGCTCCTCTTTTACTACTGTAAAATTCTCCAAAAACTCGTAATTTAAAACATCATTTTTATTGCATTTAAGGATGAAGTTCACTTGCTGCATGATGAACGAGGTCCGGTTCTTGAAGCACTAGTAGCACGTACCATTCGCAACATTGAAACAACTCAAGAAGATGTGCGATTAGTTGGACTTAGTGCCACCTTACCAAATTACCAAGATGTTGCCACATTCTTGAGAATCAAGCCGGAAACGGTATGTGTTAATTTGAACAATTAAAATTTTTGCAATAATGATTATTTTTATTTTTTTTCTTTTTTTTTTCTTTCCAGGGTCTGTATTATTTTGATAACAGCTTTAGACCAGTTCCCCTAGAACAACAATACATTGGTGTAACAGAAAAGAAAGCTTTGAAAAGATTTCAAGTAATGAATGAAATTGTTTATGAGAAAGTTATGGAACATGCTGGTCGGAACCAAGTTTTGATTTTTGTGCATTCTCGTAAAGAAACAGGTTTGTTCATAGCTAATTTCTTATAAATTATTATCAAAGTATCACAACTTGATGCTATTTTATTGATTATGTTATTAACCAGTATCTCAAATTGGTACATAATCTAAAAGTAATTGTGCTGCAGAATGGCACAGACTTTCCTGTATTGGTTTTCTATTTCCTTTGGTCTCAGTTTCCCACATACTCTTGTTAGATGCCATGTATCACCCCAAAGTACATTGTTTTGACATTTTTGTAAATTTTCGGTTTCCTAACTGGAACAAAAATATTATTATAAGATTATTAAAGAACAGAAAAATATCTTCTTAATGAAATTTTCTTTGAAAAATGTGTAGTCGGTTTTAAAAAACTGGTGTTTAAGCACAACAATAAATTCAAAATTTGAAGTTCTTTTTCATAGAAAATTTTAGAGTTTTCGAAAAACGTCAAATGAAGTCATTTTAAGTACTTTAACTCAGTGTTAACAAATTATTGAAAATGTGCATATCAATGGTGCGAGAGATCTTTAAAAAATGTACATGTACATTGGTTTCATTTGTGGGGAAAAAAAATCAACTTTACGTCATATTAAAGAGTGCAATTACCACTATCTGTTTTTGCGAAAATGGTGTTTGAACTTTTCTGGAAATGCTGAATTTTGTGCTTGTTTTCACAGAAAACTGTAGAGTTTTCGAGAAACTTTATATGAGATTATTTAAAGCACATGTACTCAATACAATAATGTGAACAAATTGTCGCTAATATAAATGTTAACATGAGAGACAAGTAAAAAAATTACATTTTTGTAATTCTTCAAAAAAAATGAATAGAGGAATATGTTGTTTGTCATCGTACAGAGCAGATTTAGCACTACCCCTGCCAAAAGTTTAAAGAAAAAATTTGGAACTGTTTTTGATTGCACATATTGCGCAATGACTAAAGTTTCTAAAATATTATGTGATACTAAATATATTACTCTGTATTTGTACGTTGTCCTAAATACAGGAAATAAAAAAAATACAAAAGTTATGGGTTTTTTCTTTGTTTATAAAACAAAAAAGTAATCAGTGTTGTGCTCATTAGAGTGAGTTCTAAAGTATTAAAGGTGAATTAACTTAGAAAATCTTTCTAGATTCTTAAACATGAGGATTGTATGAATTTTTGCAGTGGAAAATGGTTCTCGGAAACATAAATAAGTTATGCAATGGTTAAAAAAGGAATACTCTAGTAATATCTCAAAAGCCCAAAAAGAAATGCTGAAACAATTACAAGTTTACCAGATAAAATTTTTCAATTTATTGAATAATAAGATTAAGGCACTCAAACTTGACAAACTGCATTAAACTAGGAAGAAAATGCCCATGAAATGCCATGAATTGCAGATAATGCTGTTAATAATTATTCTTGTGAATGTTTTTTCACTTTTCCAAACATTTTCTTCCTAGTATCTTCCTTGATTTGTCCATCCAGACGTCAATTGTGGAAAACATGCTTTCTTCAATTAATGTTTTTTATAAAAAGCAATTAATTTTATTACTGTAATATAAAATTGTTTTTTAATCCTGTCATTTCGTATTGTAATTTCCAGGCAAAACAGCCCGTGCCATTAGGGACATGTGCCTAGAGAAGGATACATTAGGACAGTTTTTGCGTGAGGGATCTGCATCAATGGAAGTATTGAGAACTGAAGCAGAACAAGTGAAGGTGAAGTGGTTGTGCCTAATGTATTAAAATCCATAATTATGATGTTTCCATGTTTGTGTTTTCTGTGTTTTAGTATTTAAGGACAATGGTAATATTTCTCAGCCATTTTACTCTAAGGAAGATTGACAAATTCATTGGCGAAGGCCATTATATAGATATGCTTTAATGTTTCAGAACCATGAATTAAAAGATTTGCTTCCTTATGGCTTTGCTATTCATCATGCTGGTATGACAAGAGTAGACAGAACTCTAGTGGAAGATTTGTTTGCAGATCGGCACATTCAGGTAATTAGATAGTGTATTTATAGAAATGTGCTTATTAGTTAAAGTGTTATTGAATTACACTTATTACTTGCTTTACAGGTTCTTGTATCCACTGCAACCTTAGCTTGGGGTGTTAATTTACCTGCCCATACTGTCATCATAAAAGGCACTCAAGTTTACAATCCAGAGAAAGGCAGATGGGTTGAATTAGGAGCCCTTGATGTCCTCCAGGTATTTTTGACATATGAACTGTCTTGATATTTTCATTAATCAAAGTTATTTCTCATCGTGAATATTTAAATCAGATAACATTGGTATTGAATACATAATTAAATATATTATTGGATTGATCAATTCAGAAATGTTTTGCTTTTCTTAACCGTCATCACCTTTCCAAGCACTATTGAGCCATAATGAATCTTGAACTGGAAGTTGAAACATAAGAAAAAAAATTGTGTTTTTTAGATGCTGGGTCGTGCTGGTCGTCCTCAGTATGATACCAAGGGAGAAGGTATTTTAATAACAAATCACAGTGAACTGCAGTATTATCTCTCCTTGCTTAACCAGCAATTGCCCATAGAGTCTCAGTTCGTTAGCAAAATGGCTGACATGCTGAACGCTGAGATAGTTCTGGGCACTATTCAAAATGTTAAAGATGCTGTTACATGGTTGGGATATACTTACCTCTACATCAGGTAAACCTATCATTCTCTCTGATAAATAGTGTATACACTTGAATAATCCTCATCCTCGAATAACTTTTGTCCACGCCATACTTCTTGCCTACTGTGCAATTACCAATTTGTTCTGCTTCTTCTATCACACTTTTCTTTTTCTATATCACTTTTCTTTCACAGTGAAATATCAAGCTTCAAGTTCGTGGTATTATCAAAACTCATGTTCTCGAGCCCCTATTTCACTAGATGCAAGAGGTGGGGGTGGTATTTTGACAATAGGACTTTTATATTAAATCTGTAGCTCATTTTTCAACACAAAATAGTTACACGAAAGCAAAATATTCTGGTTACCAGTTTTGTCAATGACTCTTGTTGCTATCCTTTATTCTTAATTCAACTTTCGTTAGTAAAGGAGTGGGAGTAGATATTCCGGGGCTCAAGAAAATGTGTGCCTATAATACCAACCTTAACGCAAATATTACCCACACCCCGGCTACTATTTTTTAAAAATATATGTGAGGATTATTCATGAATATACGGTATGAGGTAATTTATTTGATGTCATCTTTTTTTTGTAATTCATTGCAAAATGTTTGTTTTTTAGATTACTCAGAGCACCTACTCTCTATGGAATATCGCATGATCGTCTCAAGGAAGATCCACTACTTGAACAGTATCGTGCTGATTTGATTCACACAGCAGCATTGCATTTAGATAGGAGTGGTCTTGTGAAATATGATCGCAAAACAGGACATTTCCAGGTCTGTATCTAAAACTGTTGTTGCTTTAATTACTCTGTGTTACATTTTTATTTCATTTTAATTTTATATTAAATACATTACAAATCCTTCTTAGTATGAACTCTCTTAACAAGAATTTCTGTGAAAGATGAACAAAGTTTGAATATCAACCAGGAAACATAGTTGTATGAATATATATAATAATCAGATAACATGAACACTTATTATTTCACCCCTTGGAATTAGTGTTAACAAGAGTTTTTTGTATTTGCATATTACTTTTGAAAAAAGTTCATTTTACTGAATGTTGAATACTGTTGCTCTGAAAATGTCCCTTTGTGATTTATGTGACAGAAAAAGTAGAATGTTGTTACGGAACGTATTTATAATAACACAACAGCTTGTTGCTGCCACCATTAATAAAATAATAATAATTATTATTATAATAATAATTATAATAATAATAATAATATTTTTGCTTTTTTAGCAGAAGGTAGATGTTAACAGATATTCAAGCTTATATCCAACATTTAAGGTGATAACAGGCTCTGTGTGACTAATTGGCATTGAATGTGTGGGTACTTTGGCTTTGATATGCAAATGAAAATTAAAGTTTTGTTGAGTTCTAAGTTTAGAATATTTATTTTTTATGGTCTGGTAGTTGGCAAATTTTATGCATTTTCAATGTAAATCAAAAGCTTTTAAGCCTTCTATATAGAAAATTTATACAATGTACATCAGGTCAATTTTGGAATTTGCAACTGTTGTTTGGTCTCAATGTTATAGAAAGAATATACAAACTCTTGAGAGGGAATAAAGGCAATCAACAAAAATCTCGACAAACCTACGGCACTCACGCTATGGGACATGTGCCATGAAATGTCCTTATTTACATTGGATCATGAGGCAGAAAGGGGACCATATCAAGACCTTCCAAATTTTGAACAAGGCTTATAGCACTCAAACTTTAAATAACTTTTTTTTCGAAAGGAGTTCAGATTCATGATTCAGAGGATATAGTTTGACAATTAAAGGAGAATGGACCAAATCTTTGGCAGAATTTTTTGAAAAACAGTGTAGTCAACACAAGGAATAACCTATCACCACAGAATGTCAACAAGGTCACAATAAACTCATTTTCAATGAATTTAGATAGATTTTTGTCTTAGATATGAATTTACCTATGTATTAATTTTTATTGCAAATTTGTACTAGGTAAACTTGAGAAACAAATTATACAATTGTTAAGATATGTTTATATCAGGTTTTGCTGCTGCCATTAATAAGTAAATGCTTTGTAGTTGCAGTAAAGTGGCCATTTTATTTAAAATTGCAAATAATTGAAGTAATAGAAAATCTATTTTGTTATGAATTTCCTTTTGTTGGGAGAATTTAAATATCACAATTTTATGCTTATCACGTCCATGTTAAAATGTTTGGGCAGAATTGAATTTGGAATACATGTTTTTAGCAGTACTATTACTTTGTAATACTTGTGATTTTATTACCTACTAATATATCAAGTTATTTGCATAAAATACTTTTTTTTTAAATTCAAGATGTTGTGAATTTATTTTACTCTTTCAGGTTACTGAACTTGGTAGAATTTCTAGTCATTACTATTGCAGCCATGAAACAATGTCTACTTACAACCAATTACTGAAGCCAACACTTAGTGAAATTGAGCTCTTCCGGTATGTCACCTGAATACCTTGAAAACATTTTGTAACACATTGTTTATTTTCTTTTGTTCATCATTTCAAAGAATTGGTTATTTTCTGTTAGAGTATTTTCTTTATCTGGAGAATTCAAAAATATCACCGTTCGTGAAGAAGAAAAGTTAGAACTTCAAAAGTTGATGGAACGTGTTCCAATACCAATTAAGGTATGTCTTGAAATCGTATCATCTCTCCTTTAACATCTTGGATTTTGATTCTGTTACATTTCAAAACTATTAAAAAAGACTTCTTGAATTAGCATGGCATTCATTAGCAAAATACTTTTTAAAATTTACATTGAAAAAATAAATAATTATTGAAACACTTATATTGCTTATCAAACTTTTATATCTCTGAATAGGAAAGTATCGAAGAACCTAGTGCAAAAGTGAATGTTCTGCTTCAAGCTTACATTTCTCAACTGAAATTGGAAGGTTTTGCCTTGATGTCTGACATGGTCTATGTCACACAGTCTGCTGCAAGATTAATGAGAGCAATTTTTGAAATAGGTAGGGTTTTTTTTCATTAAGTAAGGATTTAGTTTTGAAGAGTTATCTCTTTAATTCAATGCCTTTGTACTCAAGAAATAGTGTGTTTTTCTTATTCTAAATTTCTTTTAGGTGAGAATTAAGTTTATTGAAGATAAATACAGACATTTGTCTTCAATAAATGAACACAAGACAACTGCCTGTATTTGTCTCATGTTCGTTTCCTGTATGGGTATAAAAAAAACAACTAGAATATCTTGTTCTATTCGGAATTTCTGATTATCTAAATTCATTGTGTAACTTAAGTTTTCTTTCAAGAATAACTTGCTGTGTATTTTTTTCTTTCTTTCTTTCCTTTATTAATGTAATTTGCTTAAACCTTTTTTATGCAGTTTTATATCGTGGTTGGGCGCAATTGGCTGACAAGGCATTGTCTCTTTGTAAAATGGTTGATAGGCGCATGTGGCAATCTATGTCGCCTCTGAGACAGTTTAGAAAAATGCCAGAAGAAATTGTAAAGAAAATAGAGAAGAAAAATTTTCCATGGGAAAGGTGCATTTACAAATTATCATAGTTTATATTGTAGTGATATAGATTTGTTAGATTTTAACCAGTTATTTTGTTTGTAGATTGTATGACTTGGGGCCTAATGAAATTGGGGAACTCATCCGTGTACCAAAACTAGGGAAAACTATCCACAAATATGTACATCAGTTTCCAAAATTGGAATTATCAACTCACATTCAACCCATCACTAGGTCAACTCTTCGAGTGGAATTGACTATCACTCCAGATTTCCAGTGGGATGAAAAACTTCATGGCACATCTGAAGCATTTTGGATTCTAGTGGAAGATGTAGATTCAGAAGTGATCTTGCATCATGAATACTTTTTATTGAAAGCGAAGTATGCCACTGATGAGCATCTTGTGAAGTTCTTTGTTCCTGTGTTTGAACCTCTGCCCCCTCAATACTTTTTGAGAATTGTGTCTGATCGCTGGATTGGAGCTGAAACACAACTTCCTGTGTCATTCAGACATCTGATTTTGCCTGAGAAAAACCTCCCACCCACAGAATTGTTGGATTTGCAACCTCTACCAATCACAGCTTTAAGAAACAGCACTTTTGAATCATTATACGCAGATAAATTTCCACAATTTAACCCTATTCAAACACAGGTCTTTAATGCTGTATATAATAGTGATGATAATATTTTTATTGGAGCTCCAACAGGATCAGGAAAAACAACAATTGCAGAGTTCTCTGTTCTGAGATTGTTAACTCAGAATCCAGAAGGTCGTTGCGTATATTTGGTCCCTCGTGAAGCATTGGCAGAGTTGGTTTTTTCAGATTGGCAACAGAAATTCGGAGAAATCTTAGCAAAGAAAGTTGTTCTTTTGACAGGGGAAACAGGAACAGATTTGAAACTGCTTGCCAAAGGGCAGATTATTATATGTACGGCAGAAAAGTGGGATGTTTTATCTCGCCGTTGGAAACAAAGGAAAAATGTTCAGAACATTCAACTTTTTATTGTAGATGAATTGCAGCTAATAGGTGGTGAGGATGGTCCCATGTTGGAAGTTGTATGCTCACGCATGCGGTATATATCTTCACAAATTGAACGGCAGATCCGGATTGTTGCATTGTCGGCATCTTTAGCTGATGCACGTGATGTAGCTCAGTGGCTTGGTTGCAATGCAAACTGCACCTTTAATTTCCATCCCAGTGTGCGTCCTGTACCACTTGAATTGCACGTCCAAGGTTTTAACATAACACATAATGCTTCTCGACTAATAGCCATGTCAAAGCCTGTGTACAACTCTATTTTAAAACACAGCCCTCACAAACCTGTTATTGTATTTGTACCTACTCGCAAACAGGCAAGATTAACAGCTATTGATCTCTTGACATACACTGCTGCTGAAAGTCAACCCAACAGATTTTTCCATGCGGAAGAAGAAGATATTAAACCATTTCTGGATAGAATGTCTGACAAAACTCTGAAGGAAACTTTATCCCAGGGTGTTGCATATATCCATGAAGGATTAACTGCAAGTGACCACAGATTGGTCGAACAGCTGTTTGACTCAGGAGCCATTCAGATTGCAGTAGTCACAAGGAACTTGTGTTGGGGAGTAAACATTGCAGCACATCTTGTTATCGTAATGGACACTCAGTTTTATAATGGGAAAATTCATGCCTATGAAGATTATCCTATAACCGATGTGCTGCAAATGGTTGGACGGGCAAATCGTCCTCTTGATGATGATGATGCGAAATGTGTTCTGATGTGTCAGAGTTCCAAGAAGGATTTCTTTAAGAAGTTTTTGAATGAATCCTTACCAGTTGAAAGTCATCTGGATCATCGCCTCCATGATCATTTTAATGCAGAAATTGTTACAAAAACAATTGAAAACAAGCAAGATGCTGTTGATTATCTTACTTGGGCATTCCTGTACAGACGAC